TTCCATCCCCTTTGTCACATAACACACCCTACAGGTGACCCACTCACTCCCTGTCTGCCCTTAACACACAGTGTGAATGTCCCCTATGTCTCATGGTCTCTGGGTTTGCTCAGTGTCTGCATTCGACACATTCTCAGTCTCACGTATTCCCTTTGTTTTCTTACCACCTAGAGCAGAAGCGACTAGTCTCAGCAACAAGCAGCTGTGACCCCTGCCCTTTGGTAATTTGCATTTATTAGGGTTCCTTGGCTGCAAGTAAGAGACACCAGCTGTTATGGGCTAAAATGTCTCCTCCAAATTCATATGTGGAAGTCCTGTTCTCCAGGACCTCATAATGTGACCTTATTTGGAGATGAAGTCTCTAAACGTAATTAAGTTAAAATGAAGCCAGTAGGGTGGGCCTTAATCCAATATGACTGGTGTCCTTCTAAGAAGAGGAGATTAGGACACACACAGAGAACACGGAGAAGACGGTCATCTACACACCAAGGAGAGAGGCCTCGGGAGAAATCAGCCCTGCCCACACCTCAATCTTGGACTTCCAGCCTCTAGAACTGTGAGAATAAATGTCAGTTGTTTAAGTCATCCGGTCTGACGAGGATACCAGCGCAAGCTGATGAAGAAAGGGGAGGGTGTGTCACATGGCTTCAGTTGTCACTGGGACACCAGGGTGACAGCACTGCCAGCCTCGGGGTCGGGACTCGCTCTCTCTCCCTTTGGCCCCTCTCTGCACATCCACCTGTCCTTGCCCGGCCCCTCAGGCTGCGTGGGGAGCTGTGCTCACTTGGGCTCCTCTGTTACGCATTTGTTACCCATTCTCTCCAGGGCTGATACAGACGTGACTCCCTCCCACACCAGTTGTGTCCACCAGAAGACCCCTGACTTCCTCTCAAAATATGAATCTCTCCCAGGAGAAACTTCCTGGACTTTTGTCTGAAGCTCTTCAAGGACATGGAAAGTTCTAGAAAAATTCCCACATCGGTGGTTTCCAGGCTGGAGGGAAAGGGTAGTACGCAGGGTGTCAGACAGCCGTGTTGACTGGCCAGTTAGCCTTGTAGCTCCACCTGTGTGAAAACCAAGAAAACTCTAAACTGACACATCACTCCATTGCGTCGTTCTGAAGTTGAAGGCCTGTCTCTAAAAACGAAGATAGAAAACATAAAACTTTCCACTAACAAGCTACGTATTCAGATGTAGAAAGTATAAGGGTGGCTTTCCCTCCTCTGGCAGAAATCCCTGGTCTTGATGTGCAAGAGAGCTCACCCCCAAATAGCCTCCCTCAGCCTGGTTTCCAAGGTTGGGGGGAGGGAGCAGCGTGGGCCCTTTAAGAGCTGTGTGTATGTGCGTCTGCATGTGTGTGTGTGTGTGCATGCGTGTGACATGGTCCCCAAACTGTTAAAGGCCCCTTGTACCTTATCAGCGAGCTGTTCTTTACCACACGGCCTGCCTTTTTTCCACCACCTTCTGGATGCTTCAAGGTCTCTGCACTGGCCGTGAGAAGGCACCCTTTGCTCCTAAGCCCTGCCATCTTTTCTGCTTCCCTGGCCGTGGACTCCTGGCAGTAGTGAAGCGCGGGGCGGGGAGGTGGTCCAGGCTCCTGGGAAGCCCAGATTTCCCTCCCCAGGAGGGGTCACCAACCAATCGCCTTCATGGGGGCGCGTGACAGGGAGGGGCAGGTGATGCGAGAGCGTGACAGGGAGGCGGCCATAGGGGCAGGTCTGCCCCCGTGGGTGGTGGTGACTTCTTTACGGTCCTGTTCTGTCCCCCACCGGCTCCCCTGCCGTCTCCCCCGTCCTGGCTCTGAACACGGGAAGGACGCAACACCCCGGCTCTCACCTCTCTCCCTCCACAGCCTCACTGAGCACTGGGACCCACTGGGATGTCCTGGGAGGCTGAGGCCAGACAGCACGGGCGGGCACGGGCCTGACTGCCCTCTGAGGCCACCCGGCTTCCCAGAGCATTTCCACCGGCATCTGTTCTGACAGGTCCCCCCACACGCTGCCTGGGCGCCTCCCTCTCTGCCCTCAGTTGCCTCCACTGTCGGAATTCCTAGGGATTTTGTGATCCTCAGGAAGCACAACGTGGCCGAGGCCAAGTCAAATCCCTTTCCCACCCGTGCGGGGTGCTGGACTGGGCACCCCTGCAGGAGTCCCCCGTGTTCTCGTACCCGTGCGGGTGAGCCCCAGAGGCCTGGTGTCCAGACAGTGGAGCCGTAGGATCACGCATCCACGCGGGTAAACACCAGGGGAGGTGGCCGAGCCATCGTGGATCGCAGATTTCTTTCCCTGTAACGTGGGGGGAGGGGGAAGGGTTTTGAAGCTGCTGGTCCTCCGTCCATTCACTCCCTCGGTGGGCAAGAATCCAGAGAAACAGAAGGAAGGCAGGGGACCCACCTGGCCTCCTGTCACCTGGCCTCCGCCCCACAGCCTGGTGCCTGTCAGCCACAGGAGTACTTAGGGTCAAGAAACCCCAATCTGTGCATCACAGCTCCCTGAAAAGTGGCGTAGCCCTCATGCTCTCTGCCCAGGAAAAGGGGGAGAATGCCCAGTTCAGCCTGCTGCTGCAGGAACCCCCAGGAGACCAAGTTCACCTCTCAGAGCCAGGGGGTACATGTGACACAAAGGGGCAGCGTGGGTATGGCCCTCGTGTCCCAGATCCCATTCTTGGCTTTCTCTTGATTGCATCCTTGAAATTATTAGTAAACCTTGATTCTAGAGGCTCTCTGGTTCAGGGGAGTCTGGTCTGACCTGTGTGCCTGCTCAATTGGGCGAGTTACTAAACATTTCTTGTCTTACCAAACGGGGATGAAGATGAGGGTAAGATAACATTTGTAATGGAGTTTGTTTCGAAAACCTAAAGAAATGCCTTTTAATCCTCCCCACATGCACCTCGCTTTGCCCCTGATCACTCCTGATTCTGAGCCCAAAATTCCTCCCGAGAGCCTGAGGCGGGTGGATGGCTCTGTGAGAAGTTAGTGAAACACTAGGTGTGGTAGAGGGGACAGATTGCCCACTGGCCTTTAACAGATGAAGGGCCCAGCCTGGAGGACTCACCCTGAGGACGTTTACTTTGGCTGAGAGCTTGTCCCTGCCCGTGGTAGCTGGGATGTAGACTCACCCCTCTAAGGTACAAGGAAGATACAGGCCTTGGCAAAGTCTTGGAAGATACAGAAAACTCAACCAGCAGAGGTTTAACCCATAAGGATATTTGGGTTTACTTGACATGAAGTCTGGAGGTGGGTGATGCTGGAGCAAATCAGCAGCTGAGGGAGATTAAGGCTCGAGTTCTCTGGCTTTTCCGCACTATCATAGAATGACTGCCTGAAGCACCACATCACACCCTCACACCACACAGCAAAGGCAGGCTGCAAGGGCCGTCCATGACCGCTAGAGGGCGCTCTCCTCTCACCAAGCAGTAAAAGCCTTTCCCCAGAGCCTTCAAGCAGATGCCTGCTCCTGCCTCATGGGCCAGAGCGGAGTCCTACCTCTAACTGAAAGAGAGGTTGGGAAAGTGAGTACTTTTTCCATCCTTTATAGGGTGGAAGTCAGGGAAGAAAGAAGGGAAGGAACGGATGTTGGGAACTGGGAAACGGGCCTGTTTTGTCATGGGGGAAAGCCCTCCTCTCTGGCACTGGGGAACGTGGGGAGAAGGTACAGGGGACGCGACAAGCTGGACTCCAGAAGAAACTCCAGCCGAGACCCCCAGACAGGTCAGTGGCAACCCAAAGGGCATGACGTAGACCCAAGGACTCCCTTGCTCCACAGCCGTGGGGGCTTGGTCCCCTCTGTCCACCCAGCTCTAAGGAGGGGCAGGAAAGTGGGAGAGGGAGGGTTCAGAGAGACTGGCGACTGCTACCTGCAGACGCTGCACAGAGTCCCGTCACACACTGCATTTCCAGAGGGGCCGGAGTAAACACAGGTAGTTTATTTTTACCTCTCACTAACAGGTGAAGATTGCGAGAAAGATCAGATAGGCTTCAGATTAAAAAAAGAGAGAAGCCAACATTTCTCTGCACATTCTCCCGCGAAGGTCATGGCACACGCATGACACATACACTATTGCACACACACGCATGCTGCTGTGTGCGTGTGCTGGGGTCCCCATCCTGATGTTTCCGCATGTGCAGTGTATCTCCTGGCCCCCGGGGCCTCTGTACCTAATTGTCCTGGTGGCCGAGGGTTGCGGGTGGGTGATGGATCTGCTGGAAAATTGGGAAGAAAACTGATCGCGCAGAGGGCGGTACCTCCTTCTGGGGACCAGGTGGCTGGGGAGGGCGGGAGGGCGGGGCTCCTGGGACCCCAGAGACAAGCTCTGGGAGGAGGCGTCCAGGAGCACGGCTGGCTGAGCTGAGCTCCCTGGAGCAGGGCTGACTGCCCAGGGGGCACCTGAGGCTGCTCGGCCCAGCACTGCCCGCCAGGGTGAGGCATCTGCCCAGGTCCAGGCAGGTCCGACTGGCTCCCTTCCGTCTTGCCTGTGTCGGTGATAAGGGGGCACCGTGGCCTCCGTATCTCCCACCCCACCCCCCATTTTGTTCTATTTTCCAGTTTGGAGTTCAAGAGTGGGGGGCCAGGCGGGTGGGTGTTTCCTCAAGACGTCAACCCGCGCCGTCCTCTGCAATTGTTGTTATTATTAACACTTGCAGACGCTTTGCGATGGATTCGATCTCCTAAGTCAGTTTCCATCTGGGGGAAGTGAAGAAATTGTCAGGCAACTTTTATTACCACCATGAATACGTAAAGAATGTGAGTAAGGTTTGGTGCCTGTTTTCATGATTTGACAAGGGTGTGACTCCGAGTTGCTTCTAAGACTGCAACCCAATGGCCTGGTGCACGGACGCTGATGGCTGATATCCATCGAGAGAGCCTAACGCAATTACAAGTCACGCTCTCATCTGGCCCAAGATAGCCTGAGTTAATGTGTAATCCACGATGAGAACCCAGAGGTGCAAATATCACATCCCTCCCTCAAAGGGAAAATCCTTTCTATTTTTTAAAAGAAGTACCAGCACAGAGTAACATTTATCTCTTTTAATTTTTAGGCTGATTTTGAGTACGAGGAATCAGAGCAGTCAATCCAGGCAGTGAGTTCAGGCTCAGAGGACCCCGAAACATCCAGCCAGAGACGGAGTTAAGACCCCGGCGCCGGGCTGATGCCATCCCCACCGGAAAAGCGTCTAAAACTGACACTCCCCTGCAAAGGTGAAGTGTGGGGAAGAAGAGGTGTGTTAGCAAGAATAAGTATTTTCTTTCACTTTTAAATAATTACAGAGAATTTGCTTAAAAGCGTGACCGGGAACATTCTTTAGAAAACAAAGATTGTCTTTATATTTTGTCATTCTTTCCACTCCCCACCCCCAAGCAAGCGATGAAGTGCGTTACCAAGGACAATTCTTCACAGATCTGTAGTTAGAGATGTGAAGAAAAGCCAGGAAAAAAAATAGGGTGCCTCACCCAGTGGGTCTTTCACCCCTGTGTTTCCATTCCCCAGCCCTGGATTCAGACTGATTTAGGCAAAACCACTTCTTTCTAGTCACCCCCTGGCCATTACTTTGGGTAAAAACGCAGCAGGCAATTCGGAGCAGGGTCCCGTGGTCCCATGCGGTGTTTTTTTCTCACGAATTCTGCATCTTCAGACCCCACGGTGTTGTCATGGGCTTACCTTCTAAAGGTTCATCAACGGCCACAGGATGGAAGCACCAGGGGACTCCAGAAATTTTGCTATCAAAGCAGCAGCCTTTACTTTTGCACTCCGTAGATGTGATACTGGGGTGACCACAATTTACCCTTTGATGGGGTTCCATCTGACACGTCTCTGAAAGTACATGGGCCAAGAGGTGAAGGTAAGTGGCAGGCTGGATCCCTTCCTGTTATTACCCGCACTGCAGCTCACTTCCTTTCCCCAATTAAATCAGCAGCCAGCCGAGCAGTTGATGTAGACCCAGGGCTCCCCATACAAGAGGAGACCCTGTCCTCATTTCCTGATGCGCAAACACTGAAACTCTGGGAAAATGCAAGGTGCCTGGGATTTGTAAACTTTGCACCTACCTAGATAATCTACTCATTTGCTCATTAATTTCAACAATTATTAAACTTTATTCACTCAATTGATAAATATCTGTGGAGCACCGCTTGTGGGTGCTAGAAACGGGAGCCAGCGCAGCAGAAATAGACAGGGATCTATTTATCCCCTCAGGGATCAAGTTCATGCCAGGCCCTGTGCTGGGTGATAGGGACCCAGAAATTAAAAATAGAGACGTTGTTGTTAAGAAGCTCACAGTCTGACGGAGGCGGGAGCTGAGTAAAGGCACAAAACAGCACAGTGCAACCAGCCGTGGGCAGGCCCAAGAGGGGAGAGTGACGACAGGCTGAACAAAGCAAGGAGGGCTTCCTGTCGGAGGAGGCTGACCAGATGAGGACGAGGCAATGGGTGCTCCAAGCAGAGGGAGTAGCGCATTCAAAGGTGGTGGAGAGAGAGAGCAAAGTGTGTTCGAGGTAAGATGGGGAGTCGGGGTAGGGTAGTTTGGGGAAGCCAGGCTGAGGGCTGGAGTGGACAACTTCAGCCCAAGAGCAAAGGGAGCCACTCGGAAGCTTTAAGCAGAGGGGTGACGACATTGACCCAAAGTGGAGAACACTCGCGGGCGGCTAACGGCTCCCACGTGTTCTAGATGCAAGATTGGGAGGGTCTGAACTCAGGGCCACAGTGTAGGGCTCTGAGAAGGCATACTGCTCAGACCGGGTGGTGGGCGGGTTGAGGCAGGTAGCAGAAGAAGAATCCGGAACCCCTACCCTGTCTCGTGGGTGAGGGGGGATGCTTCGAAGGTTAGGGGCTCCGCTCTGCACGTGGGCTCGGCGTGCTCGTGGATGAACGCCACCAGCTGGCCTCCAGAGAGAGGCCTGGCCATGCAGCCGCGCCATCCACTCCCGGACCAGACTCTGTCCCTGGGTGAAGGGGACGCGCAGCCAGGCCTTGGGAGTGTGGGTGGTAAAGAGACTGGGAGGGAAGGAGCCGGAACAGAGCAAGGAGGACCGAGGTTCAGGGCAGATGTGGTCACGAGCTGGCCTTGACCTGGAGCATCTCGCTCTCAGAAGAAGGCAGTCCAACCAAAGACAGATAGATGCCTGGCGTCTCCTAGACTGAGAGGCAGGATGCTCGCCTTTGGTCCCTTGTGAAGTCCACCTGAGCATCTTAAAGCGGAGCCCGTCACTCGAGCTGGTCTTTGTGTGTTTTTGTATCGACGTCTGAGGATCGCCTCTAGCTTTCTTTGAAGAAAAGTTTCTGTGGCTTTGCAGAAAGACGGGCGTCCATCTCCCACTGGCGGTGCAGCCTCTTGGGGACATCAAACACCCCAGGGTCTGGCCTCCCCGCCGTAGAGAGAAGGTGGTCATTGCCCACTCCACCGGGCAGGGTGGTGGGGAAGGTCAAGACAGGCTGTGTGTGCAGAGCTTGGACCACAGTTCTTTTGTCCTTTCTCTCCCTGCAGGTTGTGATGAAGCAGCCGGGGGAGGGGCAGAGGGCTGCTTTGCTGGGTAACCTGACCCCCTCCCAGCTGCCATCCTAAACGGGAACTGAAGATTTCCAAGGGTTCTGTCCTCAACAGGAGTCCATCTTGCCCACTGTTTTCTGTTGCATAACAGGACTAAATGGAAATGATTTCCAGCCAGGGCTACACTTGTAATTGGATGGAGTTTTCTAGTTTTCTGTTGTCACAGGATCGCTGACCCTGTGAGAACCACAGAGAAAGGTTGAGCCTTGGGCCACAGGGCAGGGGCCAGTGGGTGGCCAGAAGCTGGTGTGGAGAGTGGGGACCAGGGCTAGGCTGCCCAGCCTCCCGGAAGTGGACAATGCAAGGCTGCCCAGCCTCCCGGAAGCGGACAATGCAGTGGGCAGAGCTGGGGACTGGGGTGCCAGGGAAGATGCAGACGGACCGGGGTGCGGCCGGGTACAGACCACCCTCCTCCATCCCCACAGGAGGGCATATGTCCTTTCAGGTCCAAGCCCCCTCCCTCCTCCTTGCCTTAGGCCGTGGGGCCTTCCTCCCCCCATCCCGTCCTCACATGCCTGGTCCGCTGTTCCTGACATGTGAGGTCCTTGGAACGTGTCCAGAGATACATGGGACCCATCCTTTTACCTCCCTTCAAACCTCGATCGGAATCCTCATTTTGAAACCTTTGGAAAATCCTTCTCCAGCCCTCTCCCTTTAAAAGTGTATCTGCCAATAATAAGCAACATTTATTTAGCACTTTGTAGCTTTTCCCAAATATCATCACACGTAATTTTGCTGACAACCGTCTGAAGCTGAAGATTGACCCTGCTCTGCAGGTAAAGGATTTGAGACACAAACACGTTCAAAGGAAGCAATAGTGTCCTCCCTCCTTAATTCTCTTATTTGGTGACACCCATGGACTAGGCACTGATGGGACACATGCACCAGTGGGACAAGTGGTCTGGGTTCCACGGAACAGGGGGCCCAGGAGAGCCCACAGAACCTGCCAGCAGGGTTCCCAGGGGACGCCCGTCCTCAGAAGAGGCTCTTAGAGGCCTGTGTGGACCTTGAGTGGGTCCAGCCCCAGGGGTTTGGCTTGGGCATTAACATCAAAGATAGCTCTTTGAAATGTGATACTTAAGAGCCCCAGAATATTCTAGCATCAGTACTGAAGAGAGATGCCAACCGAGGCCACTACGTTCTCACCGCAGTCCCCAAAGCTTCCACGGGCCCCTCCACCCTGCTGCTATCTTCCCATGTTCTGCTTTCCAGAATCTTCCCAGGGTCTAGAACAGCCCCTGGCACTAAACAGTGCTTGGCTCAAAAGTACGTTGTGAAACCATGACTCCCAGAGGTGGACCCCTGCCCCCCGTGCCCACCACAGAGCAGGAAAGGGGGTGTCTTACCGGCCTCGCCCTGAGCCAGGCTGCTGAGGGCCAGAGCAAAGACCATGACCAGGACGCAGGTCACCTTGGGCTCCATGGCGGCTATGACCTTCCTCCTCTGTCCAAAGGAGACCACCGTCAAGGATAAGTGTGCGTCCTGGCCCTCGATCTTATACCACAGGCTCTGTTTGCTTTTTAAAGAGGGTCAGATAACGTTTGCCTAAGGAGGGCCCCGACACCCTTCATTCCAAGTAATCTCCATGATTAAAAGGTGTTTCCTAAACACAGCCAAGCCAAACTGACAAGTTTGTTGACAGAGGAAAATGCTATATTGCGCGGTCATCTTTGTTGAGGGAGTTGAGATTCAGAAAATCCCTCTCTTATCCTGTGGCAGTCTCCTTGGTCACGACATGGTCCAGTGCCTGAGCTTTTCGGAGACCCTCCTGCTAAATCAACAGTACACTCACGGGAGAGTGAGTCATAGGTGAGATGCCCATGCCAGGCACAGTGTATCAACAGTGACTCACCGGTCCCCCATGGCCATTCAGGGACGGACAGGCAGACAGGGGCAAGTGAAGCCCACTGGCCCAGCCTGGTCCTTTCCAACTGGGCATACAACTATTTCCAATGGTTTTAAGGATCCATGTGCCTGGGCAAAATGACCTGGAAATACCAGGAACTGGACTTCAAACTTCTTCTTTTTTTCACTCGTCTGTCTTGTCAGACTTTTCCATGGCAAATTGGTACATGAGCAAAGCACCCTTAGGCCCTTCAGCACCCTGGCCCTGTCCAGAGAGCCATGCCCTTCCTGTTGGCATGGACATTGAAAATTCACCAATGTTCAACATCCCACTTAAAGGAATTGTGGGAGCATTTTTACTTATTTACCTAAATTAATTAATTAAATTTTTTTTTTGCTTTGCTTTTTCCTTTCCCAGTGGAGTCCTTTTCACAGTGAGGTTGTGTGTACGAGAGCTGACGTGACACTGATGAAGTAGCGGTCTCTCCCTCTAGCAGGGGCCCTGCATCTGGCGGGGGGGGGGGCTCCCTCTCTCAGGTCCTTGCGGTGCAGCCTCCTTGACCCTGTACCTAATGGGCCACCTCCAACCGCAGTGTCCCAGGTCCCTCCCCTGCTCTGCAGTCCTCACTGCCTTCTAAGGGACACAATGATTTGCTTACACTCTGTCCTTGTTATGTATTGACACCCTCGCCCCCCCAGTAGAACGGAAGGTCCACAATGCAGGGAGCTTCGTCTATTTTGTGTGTTCAGGTGGCCCCAGCACCTACGACAGTGCCTTATTCAACAAATATCTGTTGAAGAATGAATTAATGAACAAACGAATGAATGAATGTAAGAGAAATTCTTTTCTTCGGTGAAAGATTAGGTTCGGAGGAAAATGAGTCTGGCCTTGGAGAGAGAATAACTTCTCTTGGGTGACCTGGTAAGTGTGTCCTGGCAGCCCCTCTGGGAGGGGAGCAGGGTCAGAACTGGGGCCCCCACATTCTTAGTCAGGCTCACCCCCAGCCCGCCACCCTGGCTCCAGCTGCCGATCCTGAGCTGGAAACTCCAGGAGAGGCCCAACGGGCAGGATTCACGGTTGTTTGCTACATCCTTCCCTGTGTTTGTCTGACTGTGCCCTCCCGAGTGAGTGGGGGGAGGGTGGACGGGGGCCCATATCACTCTCCACACCGCCTCTCAGACTTGCAGCGGCGATTCCAAGACTCCTGGCGGACAACACTAACACAAGACCACACGATGGTCTTGTTCTTAAAAAACGGCCATTTGGTGAAGAAGACAGTACACTGAGTCGAGTATTGGTCCGCTAACGAGCTGGGTCGCCTTGTACAAATATTGTAAGTCCTCTTGGGTTTCACTTTTCTTGATGGAAAATAATGTGTCCGGACCCTGAGGCAGCTGGAGCCTGATCTAACTTGCAGTCCTCTCGTGCTAGGGTTCCAAGTGGGCGCCCCTGGTTTTGCATGCCCAGCAGGCCTTCCTGCTTTGGGGCTAAAGTTTTCCATCTCCAGGCCCCCTCCCCACATCCACTCCCACTGCGTGTAGTTTGACTTGGCCTGCCCCCCGTCGACCTCCATCTCACAGTCACCCTGGCTCTGCCTGGGGGTGCATGTCTGAGTGGGGTGGGCTGGGGTCCTCTGTCTGCCCATCCTGATCAGCTCTCTGAGCCCCTGGAGGTGGTGCTGCGTCAGCTGTGTCTCCAGCCCTCACATCCCCTGGCTTTTGGCCACTGTGGTGGCACCAGCAGGACATGGGTACTTGGGAGAAAGTGAACTCAGTGGGCGGAGGTTGCCTCCTGGTCCCTCCTGGCAGTGTCACCCTGGACAGGCTATACCTCCATGTCTACCCACAGCCCCGTGGGCAGCCCTCTCCACACAGCAGTCTTCTCTGGCTCACCAAAACTGACCCCTGTCTTCACTCCTCAGGCTGAGGGGTTCACTAGCTCCAAAGAGAGGTCAACACTCTCTCCATCGAACTTTCCTTGAATTACCCAGATTTGGAGTGACAGGCCTGCTTCCTGCAGGGCCTCTGACTGACACAGAAATTGCTACCAGCAGTGACCCTGTTAACCGACCCCGGAAATGAGACCCAAGGTTGGCTCCCAGGGCATGTCCCCTGGTTGGAGAGGTGGAAAAATGTCCCAAACCTACCAGAGGTGATGTGGAGTGAAGTGTGAGATAAGGTACCTGGGGGCATCTCGTTTCCATGGTAACAGTCACGTGATAAAGATGGGGGTCAGTTGGCTTCTTCTGAGAGCTACACAACATTCAAGAAGGAAAGAAGGAATGGAGGAGTGAGAGTGTCCCTCTGGGAATGGGAAAATGGAGAGGCTTTCCCAGCTAAGCCTCCACTGTTGTGAGGCAGTGAGGGCTGGGCTCAGGCTGGGCCAGGCTCCTGGATTTGCAGCACCAATTAGACGTCCATCACGTCCCACTTCCTTACACCAAGGTCTTGGCCTTGGAGAGCAAAGAGTTAAACTCTGAGACATGGGGTTGGGAAGTTTGGGCAGAAAGGTGAGGCCGAGAATTTGGGATCCTGAGCAAATACCCTGACCCTTCTCCCCCAGCAGAGATGACCCCTCCACCCCCATCTGAGGCCAAGCATCTCTCCCCTCCATAAATGCTTCCACTGACCATTGACCACCCAAGGGTTCACACGGGATGTGGACACAGGATGGGGCCATCTCCACAACCCGCATCGCTTCCAGGTGCATGAGGGTGAGACCCCTCATGGCCCAGACACAAGCACTGGCCTGCCAGGGTGGACAGCCTGTGCCCAGGAGAGTTGCAGAGCTGCATTGGCAGGATTCTGGGGAAGACTGAGGGTAGATTTGGGGGTGTCAGACCACAGAGGATGAGGTGCCAAGCTCAGAGGACTGACATCGTCACACTCCCCAGGATTCGGGGCGGATGTGCTGGCCAAGCGTACAGGAGGCTATGACTGTCCTGTGAGTGGGTAACCAAGCCCTGGGCTTGAAGGTGGCCAAGAGTTCATGCAGGGGAAATGCCGGAGACCCACCTTCCACCTCCAAAACATGGCAACCTCACTACTCAAGGTGGCCCTGGGTTAGCAGCATCCCACCCCTGGGATCTCAGCAGACACACTCCCTCCCAGGCTTCATGAAGTCAAATCTGCATTCTAGAAAGTTCCCAGGTACTTCACAGGCACGTTAGCTGTGGGAGGCTCAGTGATGCTGCAGGTGAGGGGGTCCCGGCTCAGGGAGGCTTCAGTGTTGGATGGACCTATGATGTGCACCCTTCTCGGCCACCCTAGGGTCCAACATCCCTTGACTCCACACTCAACCATCCTCCCCAGGCTCCTGCCAATGCAGTCCTTCAACTCTTTTGGGTTCTCCCATCACTCAGATGTTCAAAAATGCCCTGGTGGGGGGCCACCAGGATTTTCACAATCCCCTCTGGTCTTCTCAAGTCTTTGTAGCCCAGAGTTGATGTGGGACCCAGAGTCCCTCACCAAGAATGGAGGCCAGGTCCCCTTGAGGAAGAGCCTTACAGCAAAGCCACAGATACAAGTGATGAGCCGTCCCCCAAGCCTTCCCCAGAGTGATCTGAGCCATTCACTAGTACTCGTTTGCTAGGGTTTAATTGAGTTCCCCAAAATATGTTGCAGTCCTAACCCCCAGTATCCGTAAATGTGACCTTATTTGGAAATAGGATCTTTGCAGATAATCAAGTTGAGATGAGGTCATTAGGGTGGGCCCTAATCCATTATGACTGTGTCCTTATAAAAAGAGGATATTTAGACACAGACATACACAGAGGGAATATGATGTAAAGACACCCAGGGAGAACACCATCTATAGCCAAGGGAATGCCTGAGGCTGTTAGAAGCTATGAGAGAGTTACCCTCAGAAGGAACCAACCCTGGTGACACCTTGATCTCAGACTTCTAGGCTCTAGAACTGAGAGACAATAAATTTCTGTTGTAAATTCAGCTTGTGGTACTTTATGATACAGTCCTAGAAACTAATACAACCAGGGTGACTACTACTGGAGAAAGAAAAATATCTAGGCTTTCTGAAGGTCATTAAATATTAGAACTGACACTAATCCTCAGAGCCCAAATCTCCTGTGGTTCACCAAAGATGGAACCTGTGGATTTCAGGTGCTGGTTGAAGTCTTGGTCCAAGACATGGTCTCACTATGGGTCCAGTGAGGTGACACACACATCCCTTGGGGATCTCCTAAGGCCCAGAATAGATACACTCAGTAGCTACATTGCTTCTCTGATTTTTGGAGAGGCATATTATAGCGGAAGTCTCTCTCACCAAGACAGGGAAGAAAAACCACTATCACTGTCCAGGAAGGAATTGCAGAAATCCATGTCACTATCAAGGATGTGAAAGATTCAGGAGTGGTCACTGCACTTGCCCTTTGAGCTCGCATGTTTGGCCAGTGCTCAGGCCAGGTGAGTTACAGAGAATGACTACAGAGCACACGTTCTCTGTAAAGGGCCAGGTAGTAATTATTTTAGGCTTGGTGGAACACATTTGGCCTCTATTACATGTTCTTCTTTGTTTTATTTTTGTAACCCTTAAAACATGTAGAAACAATTCTTAGTTTAAAGGTTGTATTAAAACAGGCCACACACAGGATTTGGCCCACAGACCGACATTTGTCACATCCTTGATATATAGAGTATCATAAATTTAACCAAGTGGTGATGACAATTGTTGCTGAGGTTCTGGATGAAATATCATTACTGGAGCAAATTCCCTGGCACCTGATATGCAGCTACTGACCTAGAAAATGTTTGGTTTTCCCCCATTCCTTCAGAAAAAATCATCAGAAGTACTTTGCCTTTCCATGGCAAGGGCAGCAATATACCTCTACTGTGTGAGTTATATTGGGTTACATCAAGTCCCCTGTTCTCTGGTATAACACATTCAGAGGGACCTTGAACATTATGTTAAACATCCCGCTGGCCCATTACACTGATGACAGGATGCTATGTTGATTGCATTTGGAAAACAGGAAGTAAGATGCCTTAGCGAAGCACAGACGTGTCAGAGATTGGAACTGCAAAAGTTCAAGGACCTGGCCTATGAGTGAGGTGTTAGGAGACCCAGTACACTGGAAATATCCTCTTGAAAGAGAAAGATAATTTTCTGCAGCTTGTACCACTCACCCCCAAAATACTCATGTGATTTTGAGATAATATACACAACATTTGGACATATTGTTCTGGCTTATTTACCAAGCCACAGGTAAGTTTGCAATTTTGAGTAGAGTTAAGAGTCATAGACTGCTTGGCAGCAGCTGGTCCAGGCTGTAATACAAGATGCCCTGCCACTGAGCCCAGAAGTTTCTATGGCTTGTGAAATATTCATGGCAGACACAGATAGTGTACAGCACCTTTGGGAAGTCCTAATAAGTGAAACAGCACAGATCTGTCTAAGTTCTCTGTTGCCATGTGCCAAATGACCCCAAGACTTAGAGGGTTAAAGCAACAAACATTTACCGTCTTCTAGTTTCTGAGCTTTAGTTGTGCCACCACAGCTTTCCTGGGGCCTCTGGCTCAGGGTCTCTCATTGGCTGCAGTAGGTGTCGTCCAGGGATGAATGCAGAGCTCATGAATTCAAACACATCAATTTTCTTTTCCCTGTCCATATACAGATGGCCCATGTAAAAAGTGGCAATGGTGACATATAGGATCAATCCCATGAGTTTCTGCTCGCTGTGGCTGATCTGAGTTATACCACTGAATTCCCATCAAAGGCTGGCACGTGAGACTGGATATAGCATCATTACCCAGGAGCAGTGGCCGGCAAGCTGGCAGCAAGTTAATTTGATAGGATTCCTTGCATTACAGAGGGCCAGGGGCACATAGTTTGGGTCTGGACATGCCTTCCCTCTGAGCCTGCAGCCCCTGGCAGCACCACCACTCACTTGTGAATTTACAGCAAGTGTAATCCAGTGCACAGAATACATCACAACACATTTTAGGTCAAAGAAATAGAACAATGTCCCAGCTATTCGCTGGTCTTTCCACATGCCCACCACCCAGGAGCAGCTAGCTTCATAGAATGATGGACCTATCTGCTTGGCAGCCAGCAGTATATGCCTCAAACAGCAGCAGAATATGGGACCATCTCAAGCCAAGTGTGCCTGTCCAGAAACCAAGCAAGAGAAGTAGGAGTGGCTTTTCTGATGACTAAAGGATGTAAGAAATTTTGCTTCCCATCCCCGTGACCATGGCCTGAGTGCTGTTGCCCAAGAGAGGCTGGCTTCCACTTAGAAACACACTCTTGGTTCCACTGAACTGGCAGTGGAGAGAGTACCCTTGACCTCTTCAGGCCCCCGAACCAGCTGGCAGAGAATTATCAACTAGAAGGAGTGGTTCTAATTCCCAAAGGAAACTGTGTAACTGCTGCACCGTGGGAACCAGCAGGACAATGCTTGTAGCCCAAGGGGGTCACTGGTAGTGCTTTCTCACTCAGGGGTCCTGGTCGATGGAAAACCAAAGCAACACAGTAAATATAAGACCACTTAAGAACTCATATCCTACAGATGTCAAGATTTGGGTCACCCTACCAGGGAGACAACCACATGCAGCTGGAATGACTGCAGATGGTAACAGGACATGAAATGGGAAGGAAGTGATGATAACCTACTTTGACCTCTTGACCAACAACCAAAGCAGGTACTGTTGCAGCTATGTTTAATGTAAATTAAAGAAAATGACAGTAAATACTTAACAAACTTCTGGAAGGTTTAGGGATTTCTAACCCTTGTAAAAATGAGAGAAATCATCTAAATGTATATAAATACGTAGGTAGAGAGCAAATTTGACTGTGTAAAATATCTTGAACTTCGGATATCAAAAAATTTTAACTGTGCAAAGTTTATAGTATATATAATGGACGAAGGTTTAAAAACTTTAAGATGTAAAGATCTCACGCAAAATGATTTCTAAAACCCTGGAACTCCAATAATTAAAGAACATGAACACAAAATTCTTAGAAAACAATATGCAAATGATTAAAAATTACCGGAAAAGTGAGAAAAAATATTAGCAATCAAAGAAATAATTTAAAACAATAACAATATTCAAACCAATCAAATTGTCAGAATTTGATTTTTTTTAAGAGAAGATTCAATGTTGCTGAATGAAG